CCCCATTCTGGAACCACCCTTAATGTTGTCCCGCCCCATGCACATCCTGAACCCCCTTATTTGTTGTCCCCCCCATGCACCATCCTGAAACACACTTATTGTTGTCACACACCATCCTGAAACACACTTATTGTTGTCACCTCTTTTAGTCAAAATATCTCGTTTATTATCTATTCAAGAAGGCGGGATATATTTCCCAAAGAACAAGCTTAAGATCTAGCGTTAACTTCATGCTTGCTCAAAATAGTCCCAACTCCCTCCGCATGGTGCTTGTCTTCCTCTTCAAGAATATAATATTTGTTCCCAAGACCCGAGCTGCTTACTTCCCAGCCGTATCCAGTGGTGTTTCGCTGGCCCTTAGCTGGAGAATGCATCCAAATTAACGGGCTCCTTCTTCCGCGCGTGTAAGAAAACACACACGGTCTGGGGTTGGCCAGAAAAGCTTAAACTTTAGGGCCTCCCCTGAGGAGATGAAGTTTTTTCACCCAATGTGAATGTTGGGCACCCCTCCCCGAGACACAGATCCCTCCTGATGCGGGGGGGGGGGGGGGGGGAGTAAAAAAGAGTTTATGCCCAATGCAGTGACGGCTTAATGACCTAATGATCGAGCACATCCTGATACAATGTCTGGATTTAGGACAGTCCCAAGCAAATACTTAACATGCACTAATTTAAAGAATTTGTTCTCCATAGTTGATCCTAACAGAATTGTTTACAAAGACCGCTGGTCTTTTTTTCAAAAGATGTAAAAAAATGGTTTTAACAATGTGAGATAGTTTTAATTCCTGATTTTTACCGTGAATTTTTAACTTCTTTATCCATTCTGTCTTTACAAAGTCAAACCATACCGTGCTGTGAACTAATGTGAAAACAACTAACTTGAGACCCGCGCACTCATTTGACCCTATGCAGTTGCGAATAAAAAATAATGAATATATCTTTCTCTTTTGCAACAAGTCATGTTTGTGTACATTTTAATTAAAGAAGACTAATCATCTGTGAAGAGAAAGAGTGACCTTGTTAACACAACAGTATTATTTTGCTATTTGCTCTAATGTAAAATCATGTTTCTTGAAATGGTTCACTGGAGTGAATAGGTTATATTTTTGAGAAATTCTTACACAGATTAATAGAAATGTACTGTAGAATTGCAGATAGGAATTTATCCTTTTTCTTTTTTTTTAAAAGTATTTTCAGTATTGAAATTATTTCTGCTTGTAGAGTCGCCAGGTACCAATTGCTGGAAAGATGGGATTTTTAGGTTTCGAGATCCTCAAACGTTTCTTAAGATCCCGTCTAATAATGTTTCTTTCCAGAGAGGATTTCTGCTAAGAATAGACCTATGTATTCTATGGCCATCCAGTTGTGCAGCAACTCTGAGGGCCAGACATTTGCAATAGACGCTGACCGAGTTATTCTGACGCTCCATGGGCTGGCGCAAGATTTCGGCTCCGTCTGCAAGCCGTTGATCGATCAGGGAAAGGAAGTCGAAGTGGTGAGTCCTTTTGAAATAAGTCAGCTTTGTTTTTAGTTAGTAAAAGTTTAACGGTTGGTTGTTTTTTTAATTGTTTACTTACGTACTTACTACCCATTACGCCATCTGGCGTTTAGGGCAGAATCAAAGGATCCCCAGCTCTGTCTGTTTTGGACCATCCTGGTCAGCGTTACCCACGAATGATCCCAGGACTTCATGCCCGACTCTACTGTGCGTCTCCAGGTCACTTTGGGTCTGCCCCTTTTGCGACGTCCTTCGGGTGTCCAGTGGAGTGCAGTCTTCACAATAGAGTCTGGTTCTCTTCTCAGAACATGTCCAATCCATCTCCATCTTCTCCTTTTTATTATGGTGGTCATGTCCTCTTTCCTACATTTTTGTAATAGATCGGTGTTGAAAATCTTGTCGGGCCAGAAGATTCTGAGTATTTGGCGTAAGCTGGTTGTATGAAAGGAAGATCGCTTGGCACGGTCATGATCAGTCATCCTCCAGCATTCAGCTACATATAGGAGTGTGGAAAGTACACAGCTGTTTAACTTGGTTTGTATACTAAACTGTCTTGACTTCCAGATGTTGATCATGCTTCTGTGTATAGATCTTACCTTGCTGAGTCTATTCATGATGTCTTCCTTTGTGCCGCCGTCAGTTGTGATTATGCTGCCTAAGTAGGTAAATGTGTTTGTTATAGGCAGGTCTGCTTTGTTCACCCTGATCAGCGTTGGGGAGCCCACATTTAGTGTCATCCCTTTTGTCTTCTTCTGGCTTTTTTTAACACAATCTGGAGCCCGTATTTGTGGAGTCGGTTTGTTTTTTTCCTGCATGTGCTGGTTGGAATGGGAGAGTAGTGCAAGGTCGTCGGCAAAGTCAAGATCCTCGAGGGTGGAGAAGATGGTCCACTTTATGCCTCTTTTATTGTTTGTTTGGTTTTGGGGTGTTTTTGCTTTTTTTTTTTGGTTGCTTTTTTATCACCCTGTAGTTCCGCCAAGTCGAAAGTTTCAATGTGTACAAGATATATCCCTGAGATCACGGTGTGTGTTTTCCCAGGAGAAGATTCTGGCTTCAAGTACTACGGCACTGTCGGGGGAGTGTGTGCGGCCGTGGTTGCTGTGATGGCTACTGCCATTGGTGTCTACTTTGTCAGACAGTACAGAATGAGACAACAGAAGCAGAGTCAGGCCAACGCTGAAACCATCGTTCCTCTTGGTGCTAGAAGCTAGTAAGTATGATATGAATGTATGTATAGCTTTCAGGAGTGTGTACGCAGGGTGTAGGGATGTGTGTGTGTGTGTGTGTGTGTGTGTGTGTGTGTGTGTGTGTGTGTGTGTTTGTAAGAGAGATAAGGGGTGGGGGGTGAGTCGGAGAGAGATTACTGTTCTACGTTCTAAGGGTATAAATTGATGCACAAGCAACATTCCGTTCGGATTTTTTTTTAAATTCGTCAAAGCTTGCACAAACACGCTCGTCCCCGGAGCAGAGAGGAAGTCAGATAGAGATAGAGTTGGAAACTACTCAGACACTGGTCGTGTGCGGCTAACTACAGATAAGACAGATCGGATAATAGGTGAAAATTGTGGCCGTTTGGTTGGCATGTAGTTCTCAGACGTAAAACCGAGAAAAGGAGAGAGGTGAGATCGAATAAGTCTGAAAGAAAAACAAATCGAGGGGCACTTTTGCGTTTACGCGCTTCACTTTAGCTGAAGGCCTGATTCCAATTTCCGTATTGGGAGAATTTCTATCGAGTAACGAGGTCTTTCTACAAAGAACGTGTCTTCCTCTCTCTCCACCTGGGTTGGCCCTGACAGGTGAGGTCGAAGCCTTATCATCATCCGGTGCCTTGCCGACTGGCGTGGGCGATCATAGACCTCCACTTACATCTGTCTTGCGTTGCAGCAATGGTGTCTGTTGTTCTTGCTGCTCCCATTCATGTTGTCATCTTGTCCAGTATCTTTTACCTCTGTCTGCTGCTGCCTCTCTTTCCATCAAACTTGCCTGTTGTTACAATATCCTCCATTCTTCTTTACGCATTCTGTGCCCAATGAAATTTGCCAGTCGCTGTCGTATATTCGTCATAAGCTCTTGTCTGCAATTTGCTTCAACCAAGACTTTTTCATATGTTTTCTAGCTGTCCATGGGATACGCAACATGCGTCTTATGAACCACAACTCTGTCGCCTCAATTGTTCTTTCCAGCTGTCTATTGATTGTCCGTGCTTCGCACCCGTACAATAGGATTGGCTGGATGTAACTTTTCAGTACTCTTTTTCTTGTTTCCAGTGACAGATTGATGTTTTGTGAGTATCTGTTTCATTTTGTAGGTCGAAGCCTACATCCTAAATAATCTAAATTGTCTCGATGGGGGCGCATAAACGCTTAAATTGAGTCAAATGATGCGCTCTATAATGAAACAGGCGTAGCACTTGTTATTTGGATTTACTTGGATCCAGAGCTAGATTCATAGCAGGCGGCACATGTCCATAGCTGCTCATCTCTCCTTTCCAGCGTCCAACTCAGGGTCTTCCTGCTAATTGTCTCCATGAGGAGCTGGTTTGAGACACGCCTGACCACTCCTCGCACTTGTGTACATGCGCACTTGTGTATTGGTATGAAAACAGTGGGAGGGTGCTCGGTTCATTGTTTGCGAATTAGAGCCACACAATGGAATTTTCCACGATTATAGCAGAACTGAGAACAACATCAAAACCAGAACCAAACACAAAAGACCAACTGTCGTGACAACAATAACGATAACACTTTTACATGCGCCCAGATCAAAAAGACCCTCCGATATCCTACACGCGGACAAAGGAAATAATACAGGGCAGTTTCCTCAAAACGAGAGGCTTAAATTAAGTCCCGAAGAGACCAGTCACTAGTGGCAAAAATCAGGACTGGTCATTTCTCTGGGCTGTGAGCCTACAAAAATAGAATGGACAAAACATCGGACCCTCTCTGTCTATTGTGTAGCAAGGAGCCCCAAGATTTGGAGCACTGGCAGCAGACATGCCCCACCACGGAGGTCCGGCGGTGGCATCTCTTTGGGGAGGATTCAGGGAGGTTGGACTGCCTCACCCGCTACCCAAGAGAGGCGGTGGCCCTGGCGAAAAGCACACTCTTTGGGTCTCCAAACAATCCGGAAGGATGGGCTCACACACACACACACACACACACACACACACACACACACACACACACACCAACGACAACAACAACAACAACAACAACAACAACAACAACAACAACAACAACAACAACACATATAATACCAATAACAACGCCATCAATCATAAAATCAGCAACAACAACAATAGAAACAAAAATGACAACAGCAACAACAACAACAACAACAGCACCACCTAACACATCACCAATAATGTCACTATTTCATATTATCCTCCCGCAGTATAAATGGCTCCTTCCCTGAACCAACATCGTACGCATTATCTGCGATATCACCAGCGTCTGTCATCCCTCAGCCAGGAACAAAGACCGGCCACTTGTAAAGACAAGACACAGTGGACAAACTAAGTGGTGTTCAATTTGACCCTCAAAAGTTACATCAGTGATTTAAAAAAATAATAATAATATGTCTTACTGAAAATTAACTTTTTCTATCTTTAGAAAGAAGTCTCAAATCTGGGGAGATGCCCGTTCGACTGAGTTTGTGCATGGCCAGGTTTGAGAAGAAAACTAGACAGGTAAATGTGCACGTATTAAACAGAATTCTACAGAAATGATCTTAGTTTTAGTAGTTTTTGTAAGGTTTTGCGGCTCTCGCAACTGCAAAAGGCCACATGAGCGACACGGGTTGGATGTCAACAGAGAAGTCGGAACAGTACACTACGCAAGTTAACCGAACTGCTTGTGACGTGAGACATGACGATAACAAGGATGGACGCCGCCACAACTGCACAGTTTGTGCGCTACATTTGACTGACTGTCTAGCTGCTGTCATCGAGAACGAGGAAGAAGAAGAAACTTTAACAATTTTTTAAATAATTTGCCCTGGCATTATATAAATATTGTTATAGTGATTGGTTGATTGATTGATTGATTGATTGATTGGTTAATTGATTGATTGATTGATTGATTGATTGATTGGTTAATTGATTGATTGATTGATAGGTTGATTTATTTATTTATCTATCTATTTATTTATTTATTTATTTATTTATTTATTTATTTATTTGTATATTCTTTTTTAAACTTTTTTTTAACCAGTTACATGAACAGTTAAGATTATGATGTACAATTATTGCAACTACATGTTATTATCAATTTACAATTGATTGCAGCTACAGGTAATTATTAATTTACATTTTTCGATGACTCAGGTACAGGCTGTGTTATTGTTATGACTAAGAGTGAAAATGTTCAAACTTTGGTGCAAATTTCATGGAAAAAGCTCTTTAAACTTAAACAACAGTGTGTGTAAGAAAGACAGAAAGAAAGAAAGAAAGAAAGAAAGAAAGAAAAAAAGAAAAAAAGAAAAAAAAAGAAGGAAGGAAAGAAAGAAAGAAAGAAAGAAAGAAAGGAAGAAAGAAAGACAGAAAGAAAGACAGACAGACAGACAGACAGACAGACAGAAAGACAGAAAGAAAGTGAGAAAGAAAGACAGACAGACAGAAAGACAGAAAGAAAGAAAGAAAGAAAGACAGAAAGACAGAAAGACAGACTGACAGAAAGACAGAAAGTAAGAAATCCTTTTTCTCCCGTGAGGAAACGTTTGACATACAGCCTATACATTCTTTTGGTAAACGTGTTTGGCAAGACCATGTGCCTGTCTTTTTGTCAATGTCTGGTTTTGTTCATCACTAATGATTTTCATATTAAACATTGTAAATAAATTACACAATATGACGTTAATTACGTAAAAAAATATTGCTTTGTGAGAAAATAAATCTACATGAACCAGCACATTTGCTTCAATCAACATTACAATGCAATAGTATTTTTTCTTTCTTTTTTTCTGAAAGTCGGATGTACACGATTTATCTTAATAGTTTTCATGCATTTAGCCAATAGAGGGCTGACGTCAACATTTCTGTAACAGAAGAGGTACAAGACGCCATGAGGAACACGAAATACAGTGCAGCCTCTCTATAACGACCTTCGATATATCGACATCTTCTGTATAGCGACATGGTGCCCAAGGTTCCGATGTTTTCCTTATAATATCATTAGTAATATTCTTTGTTGGCTCTCTATAACGACAACTTTCTATAACGTCACTTTTTTCTGGTCCCTATGATGTCATTATAGAAAGTTTGCACTTTATGGCAAAGCGCCAGACACAGAAAACAAACTTATTGAAAAGATCCCAGCACTAGAAGAGGTGAGATCGAAGAAGTGACAGCATTGCTTAACACCATATACAACACCGAAGAGATGCCAGAAGATCTGAGGATGTCAATATTAATAGCATTTCGACAAAAAAAAAATTAAGCTGGAACAACAGAATGTGAGCAGCACAGGACAATCAGTCTTATGAAGCATCTTACTAAAGTCCTCCTGCGTGTACTAATGGAAAGAATGAGAAATTGAATACTTCCTGAAATTTCTGAAACTCAGTTTCGTTTTCATCTCACTGCACACCAAGATTCGATTCTTTAATTCCAATGTCAAGTCTGTGCTCCTCTACGTAAAGTCCAGACTTTCATCAACAGGTGTATGAGGAGTATCCTAAGAATTAAGTAGCAGGATAGAATAAGACACGAAGAGCTGTGGGAAAGGACAGGACAAAAAGGTATAGAAGTAGAAATAGGACTAAGAAAGTGGCGATGGATTGGACACACTCAGAAAGCCCAGCGGAAACATCACAATACAGTCGCTGCAGTGGAACCCACAGGGAGCACGAGGCAGGGGTAGGCCACGGGAAACATGGAGGAGATGTGTGAAAGGGACATGAGAGAGATGAAACCCACTTGGAATGAGCTAAGGAGGATGGCCCAGGACAGAGATAAATGGAAGGAGCTTGTATGTGGCCTATACCCTGCCAAGGGTGAAAGGCATTGATGAGGATGAATTTCGGTTTACTGCAAATAACGGTACCTGAAATGTCCCCTTCGCCCTAAGATGCTCATGGAAAGATGAACTGAGGTCTAGAAAGACCTTTGCCTCTACTTTATAAATTACTCTAAAGCATTTGACAAAGTGAGACAGACAGAACGATCAACATCCTAACAGACCCGAACATAGATGGAAAAGACCTAAGAATCCTGAGAAGCCTCTTTTGGGAACAACAGACAGCAGTCAGGGTCGAGAACAAGCTCAGTGAATACCTGACAATCTGTAGAGAAGAACGACAAGGATGTGTCTTATTTCCAGATCTCCTCGATTTATACGACGAAATGATACTGCGTAACATCAGTGATATACAAAGAATCAAGGTAGGCGGTAACAATATTACCAACCTACGGTACGTTGATGACACAGTCTTGATAGCTGATTCTGACTCTAAGCTCCCAGAGATTCTAACTAGAGTGACAGGAAAAAGCGAAGAAAAAGGCCTACTACAGAATACCTAGAAAACGAAATGTATGGTGATATCAAAACGTGATAGTCTGCAGTAAGCTTAACACATGTAAGAACAAAAGAATTAAACAGTTAACAACTTAAAATGCAAGTACCTAGGTTGCTCAATTGCACCACAATCAAAAGGGGATACAAAGATAGAGATAAACGGATTGCAATATCTTAAGAAACTTTCGTCAATATCAAAACCTGTCCTCTTATACAGAAACATTACAGCGTACACAAAAATAAGAACCCCGAAAGGGCACGTACGGTCAATCTTTTTGTAAGGATGCAAGAGCAGGTCTCTAAACAAAGACACAGAGAGATGACTGGCGGCCGCTGGAATGTGGCATTTCAAGAGAATAGTCAGAATCTCATGGACAGAACGGGGGACAAAAATAGATAGGGAACTGCTCCAAATGGCAGGTTGTAAAAGATCAATAATCAGAACCATCAGAAAAAGTTAAGATTCTTTGGCCACATGAACAGATCAAATGAGCAAGAGAATCTGCTTCTGTGTGGGAAGATGGAGGGAAAGAAAAGCAGAGGAAGACAAAGAAATAAATACACAGATGGCCTAAACGACTTATCGACGAATAAAATACAAAGAGGGTAACTCGTCCAAATCAGAATAATTATAGTGACTTCCAGAGAACCAAGTTTCAAGCCTGGACCGTGACGGAATTTTTTACAGCCGAAAGCTTTTCATCAGCAACGTCTCTATGTAAGAATGGGGTCTGTTTATGCTGATATAATTGTTTGTATTGGCATTAGTAAGCGATAGAAAGGCAAGATCTGTAAGAAGAAGAAGAAAAAAAGAGAAGATGCGACTGAGACAATATTGAATTTTAAAAATTCGTTCTGGTCAGCCGAGGGGTACCTGGAATTCTCAGAAATCTTATCGTTTTCAGCTTTAAACATTTTCTCTCCGCATTTCACGGGCTTGAGACCGTCACACCGAAGTAGGCTGCATTAAAAATGTTTTTGACTTTTGCCTTCAATCTTTTCTTGAAATAGATTGTTTTGTCCCATGCCCGTTCCTAACAAACTGACGCCATATGGTTAGTAACCGGTTAGAGTTGAGATCAGGATAGAAGACACTCAAGGACAGAGATAGAGACAGAGAAGTCACAACAGAACAGAGAACACAACACACATTCCAGAACATTACAAGAAGGTTAAAGGTTAGCAAAATAGTTTAGATCCTAACTTCCTCTGCTCCAAATGAGTCACGAGGCGGGCATTTCCCTCATTCCCACTCCCTAATGGAGACAACAGTTTTTGGTGGTCACTTCAGAAAAAATAGCCGGAACGTTGTGCACGCAGTCTCATCTACACGTGACCGTGATTTGTGTTAGTGTTAGTGTTAGTCTACTCTACCATCTGAAAAAAGAAACTCAAGAAAGACTCATATGGAAGAATGCACTCACGTCAAAGCCAGTCCAAAACGAAAAGAAAACAGGAAGAAAACAAAAACAATGTACTGAACAAAAACAAAAACAAACAAAACAAAGAAAGAAAACTAAACAAAACCAAGTAAACGTGACCTCTGTGCAAAGAGAGAAAGCAAGAGCCAGTTCCCCTCTGACCCTCAATCTATCCCTTAACCTTACACTTACAGACAACTAGACTTCAAATATTAAACATAAAGATCATTTTACAAAAAAAATTTTAAAAAAGCTACGAAAAAAACGAAACGAAAAAAAACAATAGTTCTAATGAGAAGAAAAT